CATCATTGAAAAGGATCCAAAGCTTTGGCTCCACTTCTCTGGCTGCTCCTGGGGCAGATGTCAAAACAAGCTGCAAAGCCTCGGGCGTGAGCCGCATGCTGGGTCTATCAACCCATCCCATGTATCCATCAATCCGCACATCTATTCAGCAACCAATCAAATCAGACCAAGTCCAATCCAACCCAACCCAGTCAATGAATCAAATAATCAAAGAAACAAATAACCATTACAATGTGTTGATAAAGCAACACACCAATGAACCAATGAGCCAATGAAACAATCGCAATGCATCAATGGATCAGTGAAACAATGAGTCAATAAACCAATGAACCAATAAATCACTCAATCACTCAATCCAATCAATCAGTCCATCAATCAGTCAATCAATCAATCAACCAACCAATCAACCAATCGATCAATCAAATCATCAATCACACAAATCCAACCGGCAAACCAGCCAACCACCCAGCAACCCAGCAACCCACCAACCAATAAAAAATAAATCAACCAATGAATCAAATCAAGTCAAGTCAAATCAACCAATGGATGAATAAATGGATGAGTTGATGAATGAATGAATGCATGCATGCATGCATTAATGCATGAATGAATGAATACATGAATGAACGATATATTGACACATATACACACACATACATTAATTAGATAGCTAGGCACGCAAACAAACAAGGGGGCAACCAAACATGATAGCACGCACACAACAAAAAAACCAAACAACCAAATGCGTGCAGGCGAGCACGCACGAGCCAACAAATAAACATGACAAACACACAGGACAGCAACAAAGAACACACCAAACAAGATAACAAACAAACAATGCAGCAACCACGCGAACAAACATACACACACACACACCAATTAACAAACACACAAAGCAAACACACAACCAACACCAAAACAACAAGGACCAAACCAACACAGAAATAAAGCAAACAAGCAAGCCAAACCAGTTTAAACGACACCATAACACACCAACAAACACCAAACAAACACACAATCGACCACACAACCACACAACACAAAGAATTAATGCAATGCAATAATACAACCAAATACAAACCAATCAATACATACAATGGGTACATAGATGCATACAGTTAATATCTTAATAAATCGGTACAACAAATGAAACAACCAACTTGTTAATGAATGAAGCAAATAGAAGGGCAAACAAGCGAAAGAAACAACGAAAAAAGTAAAGACAGAAAGGAACACTCGGCCCCCACCGGGAAGCGGCCAGGCTTGTTCAGAACCTCTGCGGGATCTTCCAAACTCCATCCCCAAACCCCTTCCCCAGGGCTGGGAACTTCCAAACCCCCTCTCTCTTCGCCCCTCTGCCCCAGTCCAGCTTTGGTCAGACCCCCTAGAAACCGAAATTGGCCATACCCATTCTCAAAACCTCCGGTCAAAATCATGTGGTAACCTGTCAGTTCTTCTCAAAATCATGTGGACATGCACCGGATTCCAGCTCACGCCAGCCAAAAGCGGAGTGGCCGAGGCGGGCAACGCGAAGCGTTTACAATAAATAAAAAACGAATCAAGGCAGAAATGAAGAAATAAAGCACAACGATAGGTCGATGAAGAACAAATGACGGACAGGCGGGCGGGTAGACAAACAAGCAGAAGGAAAGACGGACAGAAAGAAAGAGCCAACAAAAAAATAAAGGCAAACAAACAGAACAAGAAATAAATAAATAAGCAAACAAAACAATCAAGAAAGACAGAAAGAATGAAAGCAAAACTGAAAAAACCATCACAAAGGACAGGGGAAATAAATACACAAATAAAGAAACGCATAAAGACAGAAAGACGATAATACAGAACAGACACACACACACAGACAGACACACACACACACAGACACACACAGACACACACACACAGACAGACGCACACATACAGACGCACACAGACAGACGCACACAGACAGACGCACACAGACAGACGCACACAGACAGACGCACGCAGACAGACGCACGCAGACAGACGCACGCAGACAGACGCACGCAGACAGACGCACGCAGACAGACGCACGCAGACAGACGCATGCAGACAAACGAAGGGAGGAAGGAAGGCAGAACAACAGATAGATATAACACCTTGCAGAAAGGCAGACAAACAGGCAAACAAACATGAATACATTCATACATGAAGAAAGCAAGGAAGGAAAACACATGTTAGAAAGAACAAACACAGTCAGGCAGGCATATAGGCAGACACACACACAAAGACATAAGTAGCAATAAACAGAAAGAACGCTAAACGGAAAACTGACAGATAGGCAGACAAACAGGCAGACAAACAGGCAAACAAACAGAAAAAAGAAAAACAGAAAGACAGAAAGACGGAAATACAGAAGGACAGAAAGACAGAAAGACAGAAAAACAGAACGACAGAAAGAAAGAAAGAAAGAAAGAAAGAAAGAAAGAAAGAAAGAAATAAAGAAAGAAAGGACATGTAGGACATGTAGGAAGAAGGAAACAACTCAAATTGATGAAGACATGAATAACAATTATTATTAATGAATTAACACAATATATTTAAGAAACGGCAAGAACAAACACACGAAAGACATAGATACAAACACAACTATATATCAACATAAAGCCGGGCATAAAGAAAGAAACAAAACAACAACAAACACAAAAAGGTTCACACACACACAACACAGACACATGAACACAAACACACGACCTGCCGCAAGCACACAAGCACGCTTACCTCATTTCGTTTGGCGACGGATCCTTCATCAGAGGAGAGGCGGTCACCGATCTTCGAACGCCAGAGAGTGCAAACACATAGCCTTAGCTGAATCGAAACAGCGGTCGTACAGTCTTCAGCAACGGCAGCATGTCGCCCAGCAAAAGCCACATGCATGGTTGTTGCCAAGCAAGATAAGCGCTCAATGAACTCACTGATCTATGCTTGGATAACTTCAAGGAAGTTGCTTTCTTGGTTGTCATGCCGCTTGGACACTCTTCCAGTTGTGTGTATCGTATAGTCGTCTGTGTCATCTTGCTTTGCATTCCGGTTGCAAATCACTTTGACAACAAATCGCTATGGAAGCTTGTCGTCGCCGCGCTTGCTTGCGTCCATGTAACTTGTGAAGCCCAACCTGAGTAGTGGCCAAACGAAGCCCTGCTATGCTCTAGTCATGGTCGACTGCTGCCTCTGCAGGCTGTGATTGTTGCAACCCTGCTCCAAACATTGCCAACAGGACACGCGAAGCAGCACAGGGTCAGGCAGGGGCGAGAACATTCTGCTTGGTTTGTGGGCCACTCTGAAGGTTGCACAACTGTCCTAGCGAGAATACAACTGATTCAGGATGTGTGCTCCAACTAGCAAGCAGGTCTTGCGCGCGACGTCCCTTGCACGATTTTGCGTCTGGTGCATCGTAGTTTGGTGCATCGTAGAAACACACTACTAGAAACAGCAAGAGCCTTCCATGCTGCACTCAAACACAACCCTCTTAGAGATTCCATTTTGTCGATGTTGCTGTCAGGGTATGCTTATGTCAACGCGTGTCAACCGTCCCTTCGCTCCAGGTAGCTGCACCAAGGGAAGCAGCTCGCCCCGAATGTTGCGCTCCAGGCTCAGTGCCTCAGAGGACTTGGGGAAGGCGCAGAAGACCGTCAGCGCCAGTGGCGCCAGCCCATTGGCCGCCGCCTAAGGTTTGGACATGGAATGCTGCACGGGCTTTGGAGGACACGTGCGAACGTGTACTTGTGTACTACCCTACTGGCCGACACCGACCAGAACATGTGGAGGAACTCCTGAAACCATTCAGGCTCTGAAAACAGAAACGGGCAAAGCGCATGGACAAGATGTTATGTCGGCAGTGTTGTCGTTGACGTTGATGTTGCTGCTGCTGCAGTTCCCGTTCCCGTTCCCGTTCCCGTTCCCGTTCCCGTTCCCGTTCCCGTCGTTGTTGTTGTTGTTGTTGTTGTTGTTGTTGTTGTTGTTGTTGTGGTTGTGGTTGTGGTTGTGGTTGTGGTTGTTGTGGTTGTGGTGGTTGTGGTGGTTGTGGTGGTTGTGGTGGTTGTGGTGGTGGTGGTGGTGGTGGTGGTGGTGGTGGTGGTGGTGGTTGCGGTGGCGGTGTTGGTGGTGTGGATGTGGTGGTTGTTGTCAACTTTTACCAAAACTAGTTCACTATTAGACAGAGCTTTCTGAACAAACAAACTGGACTCAGATCCTCAGTCTGCTGTTTTAAAATTTTCCCGCCCATGTTGTGGGCGATTACTTTACTGATCACTACCCTACACTTGCGTCGATGCTTGATTCTTGAGGCCTTTGGATGACGTTTGGCGGCTCTCGCTTCATACAACAAGATACATGTGAATGGCAAGTCTTGTACTTCTGCCGATGAGTAGAGGAGATAATTGAGCTCAAACTCGAGCTTAAATGGCTGAATGATTGAGCGCACATGCCAAAATTGTGCACACCACCACAAAAAGGCTGGTTCGCAATAGCCAACAAACCAACTTGTGGGGCGTCTTGATGTTGACTGATCCAACGGCTAAGGCCAATTCCCTGTGCCTCCGGTGCTGTGCCAGTGCCCGCCACAGCGCGCGCTACTGCTGGCATCACCTGAGACCCAACACTCAGCCCACGACTAATGTTTGAACGCCCCCAAAATGAACGGACGCCGCTCACGAGAGAAGATCACAGCGATGAGCAGCCTACATGAAGAGACACACGCCTCGGCATGTCCCAGCATACTTGCACAGTAGAAAACGCAAACACCCTTCAGCTTCCAAGGATGTCGTCCAAAGTCCAAATGTCAGCCTCTCCAAGCTGCTTCAGTTGTCACTTTTGCCCTCACCGAAGCAAAACCACAAACCTTGCATTTTCTCACCGCACAACTTGTGAGATCTGGAACATCTCGTGGAGGCAATCGTCATCACCGACCTCAAACATTCTCCAGCAGGTGTATCCTACTCCACTGCCAATCCCGGCAGACCAAGCATGGCTTATTACCCTGCGAAGCGATGGGGGCGCTCCTTCGAGCAAATACAAGTGCCACACCACATGAGTAGGAGAATCACAAAGACGGCTCCCCACCTCAAGCCTTCCACACGCGCCGTTCCACTCCGAGGCGCCAGGCCATGGAGATGCGCCGCTGCGATGCACCGGACCACCTTCCATTGCATTCTTGAACTACACGCAGGACGTGAAGAACTCTAAAGACACATTTAGACACGTGTCTGTGACTTCAAATGTCGGTCGCTAAAAGTCTAAAGCGTGCCCTTTTGCCCCGAGCAATGCGGCATTGGGACGCGCGGCTCCCAGCCTTGGAGCTGAACTCTGGGACCTGGCCCAGACGCAGTCGGGCCTCAGTCACTTCAGTGTAGAGTTCCATTTTTGGGTGAGCCAAGTAGACCTCCCGCTCCAACTCATATGTGCAGGGTAGATCGGTCGCAAGTGCCACTTGGTGCTGCCTCCTTGCTTGCTTGCTTGCTTGTCTGAAGCATGACTTCGAACACGATAGAACCTAATCGGGCACGTCCAACTGCCAGAGTCAGCCATCCTGCTCAATCATCTCTGTTGCTTCAACGTGCAATCACTCAGCAATTGTGCATGTCCGCACTCATTCACTCAGCGTCAAAGTCCGCTCAAGCACCGCATGCCTCACCCACCACCTAAAACCTTTCGTTGAAAGTCCCTCAATATTCCCAGCTGCCGTTTCCATCTTCCATCCCTCGGTTCGCACGGAACTTGCGCCCGCTTGGGGCGCCAGCCGTGGACAGCTCCAGGCCCTTGGCCGCCCGCTCCACGGCCCGCAGCTCCGCCGGCCGCATGTCCCGCACCGCGCCCAGCACGAAGAGCACCGCGGAGAACTCTTTCAACGCATCCGAACCATCCGCAGGCCTAGGATGATGGAACCCGCCAAATCTTGTGACACTGGGGCCGTTCCATGCTCAAGCTGACCACACAAACAAGCTAGGCTCCATAAGGGATCGTTGTCAAACACGCAGTCCAAACGAGTGCGTTGGCCGGGGTCATCCAAGCCGGTCCCAAAAACAGACTGCAAAGGGTTTCTTGGAGCTAAGAGCCGCAAAGCTTGCAAGCTATATAACACATTGCTGCTGAGACCTCGGTCCCGCACTCTTCGAAGAGCGGGAGGTCGAAGAGCGGGAGGTCTGCCGAACAGTCCTTCAAGTCAGCGCGACTTTAACAGAATAACAAGGCATTGGCCGACGTTCTGGCAAGTTATTGCACGGGCAATTTCAAAAACAGGCGCACAATGGCGCACCAAACCTGACTCCAACCAAGCAACAGCAGCCAACCAAAGCCAGACGCGCAATTGGCGCAACACATTGGCCACAAGATCTGCACGTGGCTCCTCGTGCAGAATCACTACAAGGCCGCCTCCGGACAGAGTGTGGCCAAGCACCATGTTCATGAACATGGCAATCCACCACAAGCCCTTGCGCAGTAAGGTGCTCAGCAATAGAATCGGTCAATGCTGATTCTGGATTGATCCCTTCTTTGTATTTGGGTATGTATTTCCATGCGCAGCCTTGCCTTTGGGCAGCTGCGCAAGGGCGCACTTCACAGCGCCCGACAGCGCATCTTCGGCATCCTGGGACTGGCAGAAGGCGAGCGGCGAGGGGCAGTGCGGGCAGCGCGGCGGTCGCTGCAAGAGCCACAGCGACAAAACCAAATTGTTAGACTTCCATTTGCAATTGGCGCTTTAATCCTAGGGCTTCTAAGCATCAAGGTGTACAAGTCTAAGTGAAATAACCGAGATTCACGTTGCACATACCGCTCGCTACATAAGAATCCTGCCAACGTTGTGACGCTCGCCATTGCAAAAAGAAACGCGTTGCGTGTCAAAAGGTGGAGAAGTCACGCTGGACCATTGCACTCCACTTGGCGGTGCTGGACGTGAACTCTTGGCCGGCTTGCAGCTGGTGATTGTTCGTCCCACCAAAGATCTTAACTGTTGCCGCGCAGGGACAGCTAGAAAAAGTATTGCCGGAGCAGCTAGCATGAGGGAAGTTTAGCATGGATGGATAATGTTTGGTTTTATGGTTGGTCGGGGGTTTATTTAGGCTCGGAATTAATCTTGTTGTAGGCTAACGCATTTAGGATTTGGTTGGGGTTGAGGCTTGCTTTCGGACAGGCTTTGGGTGGTTAGGTTGAGCTTTGAGTTGAGGGACAGGTTAAGGTTTGGCTTGCTTGAGGTTGGCTTCGAGTGGGGACTAGGGCTAGAGAGTAGGTTCAGGTTGGGTTTAGGGTTCGTTTGGGCTTGGTTTATGGTTGGTCGGGGTTGGCTTGGGGCAGGTCTTGGGTCGGGGTTCAAACAAGATTCGGGCTGGTGAAATGGTCAAGTTGAAGCAGTCAAAGGTGTACTTAGGTTCACAACAGTAGGGGCGGTCCGGACAGCGAGTGGTCGGCTCAGCTTGAAATGGTCAGGGCGGTTGGGATGGCAGGAGAGTGTTGGGAGTGAGCGAAGCGGTCGGGAGTGGGTGCCGATTTCCATTTCCCAAACGGTCGATGTGTAGATTCCCGAATTGGGGATTGGCCGGTCCTGGGCGTTCTGAATGTGTTCTTTGACAAGGCCGGCACCCGTCCTGAGCATGTTTAGACCTACCACCCCAAGAACCAACGCATGCAGGGAAAGCCGAAACCTCCAATCTGCTGGCTTCACAGTTTCTACGACCTGGGTAACGTTCGCATCCTAAAAAAAATCAGCACTACAAGAAACCTTACCCGCTTTACCCCCATAGTAAAGCTGAAACAACCCCACACCCAGTACACAAAGTGATCAATCCCCATTTTGTTCTGATCTTTTGCTGATTCCCAGCACCCAAGCCAGCCGTGCCAATGGCCCCGATTGCCCGGTACCAACCCTAAACCCGCCCTAAACCATGAATGGGGGACAACTTAGAGCTACCATGAGCTACCCCTCTCAGCCGTTCCCTGCGCGGCCTCATGTGAGGGGAAGGCAGCTTCCCAGGCGTCAAGCAGCTGCTGGCGCGTGCAGCTCTTCAGCAGCTGCGCTGGCGACTTGTTGAGGCCGTGGACACGAAGAAACTCCTCGCCACGCCATGCGAACGTTAGATACAGTTTCAATCTTCACAGGCGATGGCAACACAAAGAGTGCGTGGGGAATTTGAGGATCTCGGTGCACCATTCAACAAGGAGAGGCACTACACTTCTGAAACCCTTTCCTTGTACCCAGTGTCTCACTCGGTGCAACACCATTCAACAAGGAGAGGCAGTACACTTCTGAAACCCTTTCCTTGTACCCAGTGTCTCATGACACTAGCAAACGGAAAACTTCAGCGCTTTTGGCCGGTCTGTCCATGTTTGTCCCATGGCTTCAATAATATTGGCAACTTGCGTGAGCCACGCCGACGCTCCAGCGGCATCCGCCGCTGAAGCTGCTCCAGGAGCTCGCGCTTGCCCAAGGCATCGCCTCCTCACGTGAAGGCGACATGTGACCCCGAAGGGCAACGAAAGCCCACCCGCCACTGGGCATCTTTGACTCTATCAGAATGCTAAACGGCCAATTCGAGCCTCCTGCGCTGAGCTGCGCCCTCTTCCAGGGCTCCTTGATGCAAGCGGTGCCCAGCGCCCCGCAGCCTTCAGGGCTTCCGGCAACCGTCATCGATTGCCTCTTTCATCTCTTTCATCTCTTTCATCTCATTCACTGTTTTGTTGGAAAAACAATTGGCCTTCCAAGATGTGTAGCCCTTTTCAGGAACGCAGCATGGGGAAGGCTGAAGCCATACGCTGGCGACATTCAAAGTGCAACACATAGCAATTTGTGGGCCACGGTTTTGGGGGTGAACCCTTCGCAGCTACGGCAGTGTTGGAATGAGATTGGCCCATTCAAAGGCTGGGGTTGAAACGAATGGCCATGGTCCTGCTGGGGCATCTTTTAACGAGCGGCAACTTGTTTGTGGTGGGGCTTCTATTCACCCATGAGTCAATGATTCGGAAGGGTCTCCCATATCCCCACCCAAACGCACGCTGGGTAGGCCCATCATTTCGACACCATGCCGCGTCATTCAAATAGCTTGCTTACAACGCACAAAAAGGCCGCACGGGTGGTTTTTTCTTGGCGCTATTTCATGTTCGCCCGCGAAACAGTCTGACATAACTTTTGTAAGCTGGCCTCTTTGAAACCAACAGTCGGACATGCTCGGCCACCGCTACGCAAGTGTCCATCAAGGTTTGACCTGCTACTCGCACATGCCTTTCAATTCCAGCGTTTCATTCCCGGCCAATCTTCTTCAAGAACGCCTGAAAGTGCTGCTCAACTAGGCTCAAAAGACCTCCAAAGCTGGCATATCTCGAGGAACATAGACCCCAAGTTCCGACTTCGGCCACCACTGATCCAAGGGGCCCCAATGTGATGCTTGCCTGTGATAGCGCGGCGCACACTGCGCACCAAGTCCTGGCTGGAGCACTACAACCGGGGACGCTCTCGAGTGGCATGCATCTCACTCCCAAGCAAACAAGCCCTCCATCAAAGATGAGCATCCTCCTAGTTCTGAAATCTGGCTTGAAGTGAGCTTTTGCCTGCCACAACAAAGCTTGTAGCTGCTGAGTTGAAAGCTCAGGAACCAGTGCATGGCATCGCGCCTCTTCTGTGGGCACCGTGCCGGACTTTGCCTGGTGGGACGTGGCTGGTCCAGGCATAGTTTTCTCAGATTGATTTGGGGCGCGGCTCTGTCAAATCCTTGTGCCTTGGCCTATCCTTCCGATCTGGCAAAGGCGTTGTCAGGGTTTTCGGCGGAGCTGTGGCAAAGCCAGGGAAATGTGTCCCCTTCCTTTGCCTGCAGTCGGCCGTCGATTCGCAGTAGCGAGTTATCATCTGCAAGAAGCCTGGCACACCGAAACATGATGATGCCCAGAACTCGAAAGGCACATCCAAAAGCTGTTGCGCTTTCAGGGGTTGCACAGCATGTGCTTGGAGTCCCGCGAAACGAATAAATCCCCTGACTGTGGGAAGTGCGACAATTGGCAACTCGGCAAGTCCAGTGGCAGATCGAGTTTCAAAGTTCCTTGCAACGCCACGCTTAGATCCTGCCAGGCCTGCTATCGGTTGCACTGTTCTCAACTTATTTTCTCTTTCGGATCCTTGCCATGCAATACACATTTGTGTTATTCAATGACAGCGCGGCTCCATTTGCACCAGTACCACAGAAGTGTTCGTTACAAAATCTTTGGTGTCTTTCGCCAGGTGGTTCTAAGAAAAAATGCAGCCATGGCAAAGAACGTGAAGCCTGATAGCAATTTGGGGTCCTATTGCTGTAGTAGCAAGTAGTAGGGCCCATCACGGACCATTCAAGGCGCTTCTGGCTATGGCTGATGGCCAGGAGCCTGCAAGATGTTTTGCGTCACTTCAACCCCCACGGCCACCTGGATGCCACGGATGCCACCTCCCGGCTTCGCGGCTGGGGGCCCGGGCACCGTGCAGCTCGCGCTCGCGGCCTCCGGCTGCGCCGCGGGCCGCAGCGCGGCCGCGGCGATACGCGCCAAGGCGTCGCGGCGTCCCCACCACATGCCTGAGACGACGAATCGACGAGACGAGAAGACTCGTGTTGGCACAATTTGGGCCTGGTGAGTTCATCTCAAACCAAATCCCGGACCCTCTCACGCGATCCTTAGGAGAGAGAATTGCAAGCAACCTTGTTAGCAATCAAATTGGCAATTTGGAAGTGCAGAGCGCAGTGGACTCCAAATGGATTAGCAATCTGGATTAGTAATTACAAATGACTCATTTGTACTAACCCAGATTGCTGACAAATGAGTAAGCGAAAATAGTGAAACATAGTAGGAACTAGTAAGCCATAGAAGTACACAACCATTGCTTATTCCTTATTTCTATTTGTTCACTACGTTCACTGCATTTTACTGTTTACTATCTTTATTAATCCAGATTAGCAAATCCATTTCCCTAGTAAGAAATAGTGAACACCGGGAAATAGTAAAACAGTAGAAGCATATAGTAAACCATATGCTTTATTGCTGATGTTTAATGATGCTTTATTATTTCCAATCGTTATTGCATTTTTTGCGATTTGTTGCTAATGTCTGTGATACATGTTACTAGTCCAGATTTTGAATCCATGTCCAATGCTTAGTAAAACATATTACACACATGTAAGACGATACCACAGCAGGCATTAGTCAACATGATTTGTTACTATTATTCGCTTACTAATACTTAATAAGTTTCACTTTTATCTAGTATTGTGTCACTATTATGTCTAAGATTGTTTCACATTTGTTTACTATTTGTTGCTATCTTTTTACTAATATGGTTCCTAATTCAGATTGCCCATTTCGGGGCCACTGCACTCTGCAATTCCGGATTGCCAATTTGATTGCTATTTTTGTTGGTAAAATAAATCCTGGATGCCCCCTCAGTGCTTACCCGACTTGCCAGTCTCAACGCGATCCTCCTTTTGTGGGTCAAGAACACCCCCGACTTTGAGCAACTCAAACGGCAAGGATGCCGAGGGTCAAGCATCCCAAACAGCAGTGACGATGGGTAGTTCAGTGAGGGTGGGCTGGAACAATGAACGAAATCGGTGGGAACTGACAACATTCAGGTCGTTCAAACTCCCGAGACGTCCCGGTTTGGAACTCGGTTTGCCACAGGCCAGACGGCTCTCGTCCGCGTTAGGCCGCCACTCCTCGGGGTCTGCGCGGCCATCCGAGAAGAGGAGAAAGGATACCTTGGCGATGGAACATTTAGCGAACATCCCATAGGTCCTGCGAGGCTTAGACTCACAAGCCCTGGTCTTCGTTCAAGGATTCTTTAGAGAACGGCAGCAATGGCCGTGGGAGAACCTAGGCAGAATCCAAATCCACTTCTCAAGGGTTGTGGAAGTCACCCCAAGATGTCTGACAAGCTTTGAGCAGACGCCGATATTGACCATCACTTTGCATTCCAGGCACTGCTGCGTGCTCTGAGCCAGGCCGTGGTCGCTTTGGCATAGCCGACGTGAAGAAAGCGGGCACAGGCGCTGGAGCTACTTCTCGACGTCTTTAAAGATCATGCAATCGAAGACGAACCGAACACGAACCGAAGACAAACCGAAGACATGATTGCTCGACTTTAGAAGGCTTCCATATAGCGCCAATTTTAGAGCGGTAACTTTCTCACTGTTCTCAGCCATTTTATGGCTCGTGCTCAGTTGGTTCCCCTGGCCCTGGCAAACAACGGATCTGTCAACATGAGTTTTGCTGCATTCCCAGAAGGGGAAGCGTGGAAGCAGCCACACACACACACCTCCGAAACATCCCTGGTCAACAGAATCTGCCGAATGACACTTCCGCTGTCTAGAAATGACCTTGATCACTGAGGGCGGCAAGTCAGGCAGCCAGGCACTCCTACCCATATTTTCAGCGCGATCAACCCGCGCAAAGGTAGAGAGAGCATTGCCTCCTGCAACTGGAAAGCACACCAGCCCCAAACAATTTCTCCGGTAATAGCTTCTGGTTGCTGTGTTGCTACACCAAAGCAACCCGAACAACTTCCGCTTGCAATTGCTGTCGTCCGTGAAAGGGGCCACCCGCTGTCTGGCTCTGCGCAGAATCACTCCAGGAACTTGGAAGCTCTCCACAATACCCCCCCCCCAAACACATGAACAATGACTTGTATTTTGCCAAGCCATGTCGCCTCAAAGTCGTCAAACTGTGTACTCAAAGAAGTTCCAGATGTCCAAGTTTGTATGGGGCAACTATGTGCACTCCTCCAGTTCGGAAGGGATGTAGGGTTGGGGCACGCCTCCAGGGAGATAGACGTACTTTCCCTGACACGTACTGCTGGGCTCGCAAGGGGACAGTGCAAATTCTCCGAGTTGCTTGCTTTCTTTGCGCTATTAAATTGACAGCAAGCTCCCAATTGAGTTCTTCTTCCAAGCCCTTTGAGGCAAAGTATTAGAAATGGGCCTTGTTTTTACTTCTGTTTTTGCGCAGGTCTTCTTCCAACCAGATCTAGCACATCAATTTCCCCTGGATAAGCACATTCTCTGCTGAGAAGGCTCTGACCGACGGAGAATATGTGTTCCTTGTTGGTCCATGCGGGCCCCCTGCAACAAACATGGTGATGACTTGCTGCAAACAGGGCACTGAGCAGCTGTGGCGGTGATTGCTAAACACAAGCCGGTCATGTCGGATTGGTCCATTACTTACGTCTTGCTTGACCACTGCAGACTGCATGTCGTGCCCGATTTCTTTCTGTGGCAAACAGTTGCAAACCTTGGATCAAGATTTCCGTTCTGCACTGCAGATATCAGCGTGAGTGAAAGTGTGCCTCTTGGGTGAAGAGCCTGTCCAGCGAGTGCCCGGGTAAGCGAGTCCTGAGCTGAACTGCCTTGGCTGAACAACCTATAATAATCATATCATATTGGTTCATTTCAGTTGAAAAGCTCCGCGTGAGGCCTGAAATCGAAAGGGCTGCCGCAAGCAATGTGGCCGTCCCTTGACGCGGGCTCGAAAAAGGCTGCAGCAATTTGCAAACTGGGCCCCAACAGGGTGGGAGATATTTCTCTGAAGAGGCAAATCCCTGGCATGCCAGGTATAAAGAGCATGTATGAGCTTCACCGGGTCAATTGAAATCATTTGCTTTTTTTTTTTTTTTTTTTTTTTTTCCGGATCACCCCCGCAAGATGGATGACTTAACTAAAACCCCCAAGGATCATTACGTTTTGCCGCTCTTGCCTACTTGCCCCCTATCCCCACTATTTCCAATTATTGGGGGATGCCGCCTCCATCGACAAAGCAACTGTGGTAGAACCGCATTTCCCTGAATAATTTCTGCGAGCAACTTCTGTTCTGCACGTTCACTTCTTCTTTATTATTATCTTTTTAATAGAAATGATGCGAGCAACTTATGATCTGCATTGGTAGGTGCTGTTTGGGTGTGCGGGCGGGGCAGGTCAATAGATAACTTGCGCCTATCTATTTGCGTTCACCTTTCTTTGGTGTACTTCATCCACGCAGCACATGTTCTGCGTGAGGACAAACCCTTCAAATTGCATACTCTTTCCCCGGGGCAGAACGGGCAGCAGGGCCATACGGATTGCCATTGCAACATCCTCGCATGGCAGGGGCCTCTGATCGATTGCGCACGCGTGCATCAGTACTATGCGTTGGCATGTTCCATGAGAAAATCAATGATTGAGGTGATGGATCTGATTTGCAGTTGATCCGTGCGGCTCGAGCCCCCGCTCTTCGCCCATTCGCCCTGCTTCCAATCTGGCCCCCAGTGCAGGGCCAAGCGGTCGAACTGACCTCCAACTCACCTACACCCCTTATACGCAAGACAATTCAATTCAAGGGTGCTCAAATCTGGTCTGGTGAAGTCAGCAATATTGTAGCTTAAGACATCGATGGGGGGCACAGGCAATTCCAAATTGGCGGGGGGCCTAAGGGGGCCTAAGTGAACGCACCCTCAAACACGACCAGCAAAAAACACGTATCCTCTTATCCTCCTGGGCCGCCCTGCATCGCCATGCGGACACGGCAAGGTTGGCCCTCCGCGACTTCCTTGGAGCAAAAGGAACCACAGGCTTCACGAGAGTCACGCAGGCAACAGGAGCCGTCTCCCGCCTTGCTTGAATTCCAATGAGCAAACAGCTGCAAGAAGAGGCAAATAGGGGCCAAATGGGCTGGGCACAGTATGCATGACTGGGGCTCCACTTGAGCTCAAGCATTTACTCAGGAATCTACTCTGCTACGCACTTGTTTACCCGACCCTAGACATGTCTGCACATGGATAGTAATTACCATACCATGTGCATGCATTCTAGAAGCCGGTAGAGACTCTAGACATGCCTGGACACTGACAGTGCAGTTCCATCATGCGCGTGCTAAAAGCCGCGGAGACTTTCTGCACATTGACCATGCCATTCCACCAATGATGTCTACGCATTGATAGTACCATCCCAACATGTTTACACACGCTAGAAGCAGGACGCTAGAAGCAGGTGATTCTGGTCAATCACGTGGCTTTGACATGCCAATTTTCCGACGCCGCCCAAGTGCTCAATGCTTGGCTGCAGGGGGCACAGCACAGCAGCAAACACAAGGGCCTGCAACAGCCGAATTCTTGAAGAGGCGGGCGACACAAAAACCTGCCAATTGCAATCACGGTAGCAAGCCACCGGAGGTACATGGCTACAACCATGAGAGTACAGTACTAACCACCTGCTACTTGTCTTGGCCACATGTGACAACTTCCGACTTAAAGTTGAAGGCAAACCTATGCTGCCAAAATGACCAGTGGATGAAGAGGATGATACATGACTCGTGAAGCCAGGAGCTCAGGTATCCTGTTGGCTCGGCTCGTGAAGAGCTCCCGTGTTGACCAATAGCTCCCTTTTTGGGTCTAGAGCATGACACCATGACAGCCCTCTCCCGCCCGAATCCCGAGGGCAGGGCGGAGGACACCAGGCTCGGTATGCGCAAGGGCTCCTTTGGCACTCGCGCTGAAAGCCTCGGCGTGTGCGACGCCAAAGTGACCCAAAAGACGTCCCATGACGATGGGACGGGTCTTTGTCGCGGTTGAGACCTGTGAAGGCCGTGGGAGCCCTTCAAATCCCCCCCCCTGTGGGACTGCGGGAAAAGGCCTAACAACCATTTTGAAAGTGCGAAAGGGTTTGAAACAGAGTTTCGGGATGGATAAAACAGGCCCTAACCCACCAACAAGAAGAGACCACCTTATCCCCCCGGTCCCAAGGGCAAAGCGGTTGCCCTCGGCCGGCACAAACACGAACCAAACAGGGTGCCAGTTGTGACAAGATAAAGAAACCCAGCAAGGGCAGAGACAACCGAAAGCAAGCACAAAGCAGCAAACCAAGCAGGCAAACAATGCAGCGAAGCGAAGCGAGCAAAGCAAACCAAATGCGCACCGTTCCCAATCCCAAGTCCTGACCAACCACCAGCAACGCCACCACCGACCACGAAAGGCCGCAGCTCCTTTTGCTGCAGATTTCCAGGTCGCCGTGATGAGGCGCCGACGTGATTGCAAGCAGAGTTGCCGGAACGAAAAGGCTTGAGCCAAACGGCGCATTGGCCGTGGCGTGGAAACGTGTTATGATAAAACTACATGCCCCCAAAAACACCCCCCTCGCCTGTACAAAGAGAAGGAGTGAATTTGGAAGGGCGCATTGGCCATGTCGAAGTTGAAAAGCAACAAACAAGAGAAAACAAAGCCGATTAGGCTACCAGGGTTCGCGACCCCATACCCGGGCACTCATTGGTGCCCGGATCCCGCCACCACCCCGAATTACGGGTATGGGGCGGATTCGCGCCGGTAGCCAAATCAAACAAGAGAAAGCAAGAGGCAACAGAAACAAGGATTCAACTCCAGAATGGCAGGCATGAAATAAACATACATTTGCAATGCAACCACAATGAACCGTAAGGTTCAAGTGGATTTAGTTTCTGAATTCATGATTTAGGCGCATTGGCCTACTGGTAGAAACATGGTGCATCGACCATAGGACCTTGGTCTTTAAAGTAGCACCGTCTAGGCGCGCGATCACACAAGGACCTTCGGTAGGAGCACCACCAGCTGCAATCAGCGGTTCAGGTCCGAGTAGGATCTCACCGGCAGCGGTGCAGCGCATCCGTGATCCCCACCGCAGCACCTTGATGAGTTCCATCTCCAGCAGCAGCAGCGGTGCTGGTCGATGGTGGCCACCAGCGGCCGTAGACGCCGGCGAGGGTAACTGCCTTGCTGTGGCGACGCACACCTGACAGATACTCGCTGCCTGCGCGAATAGCGCAAAGCTGCGCATGCAGTCGAATTCTGAAATGGCGAATAGCCTAAGCACAGAAATACTACAAGGAGCATTGTCCATTACGTGACTTCCGGAATGAAAGCACGCGCGCGTTGGCGCCGCTACGCAAATGATGCAGACGAACATCAGGTATCACCGATGTCGTCCGCCGCCGCGCCGTCCCCTCCCCTTGTTGACGTTCCAGTCCCCAGGAGGGGGAGGCACGGTCTCGGCCAACTCGTCATCCGCACCCCAGGTAGGGGTATGCGGCGAGTTCGGATTTTCGAACT